ATTTATGGATCCCATGTATTATGTGATAGAGATTAATTATTAATTTTTGCTTAAATTTTAATAGACTCTTATTTGTGTCCAGTGGGCAAAATCAATGGAGAAAATAATTTCCCAATCAATAACCATGCCAAACGACCCAAGAAGGAAAGAATTGGACCAGCTAGAAAAACAAAAGGCCTTGATTGACCGAAAAGCCCAATCCGTCGTTCGTGGTGAACTCTATTGTGGGCTGGGCTTTTTAGTCCTCCAAACATTGGGCTTTATGAGGCTTACTTGGGAACTAGGTTGGGATGTGATGGAGCCCATTTGTTTCTTTGTCACCTCTCTTCACTTTGCACTTGCTTACGCCTTCTTTTTGAGAACATCAAAGGAGCCCACTTTTGAAGGCTACTTTCAGCGACGGTTCAAAGTGAAGCAAAAGAAGCTTATGAAAATTCACAACTTTGATGTTGAGAAGTACCATGAGCTATGTGAAGCCTTTTATCCTCACTACTCGAAACTAGAACGCTGTGGAAATGTTGCACTATATGGCGATCATGCAAGAGGGACATTTTTTAGTTCTGCTCATGGTTGAATTGTGCATAGTCAATAGGATGACTTCGAGTTAATATAAATGGACTATGAATCTGAGTTCATTTATGTATAGATTGTATTAAGTTTGAGTAGTCTTCTTGAGTTGTGATACTTGCTACATGGAGACTTTCAAGTCAAATGCGATAAATGGTTTTGATAAATTTTCTAGATTTCTCAATTTTAGTTACCATTTTGCAAGTGGCATAGCTTACATTTGGAGGGTGTTTGATTGGCAGTGAAAATTACTAAGAAAATAAAATATTATTCTTAAAAAAAAAAAAATTAGGCATATTTTCAAAAGTTGAAAAATATTTTAAATGGAAAAAATTAGCAATCAAACACTCGAAAATTAGAATTTGGGTGAAAATTTGATATTTTTCATGGAAAATAAATGCAATCAAACACACTCTTATGATGAATGAGAAATAGAATTAGTCAAAGTTAGTCAAAGACACCCTCTCGTTTGTAAATATCATGGCATATTTGAGGGAGAGAAATGTTGCGATATGTTAACCACTAAAATTGTTGCCTGACTATTTTCACTTAAGTCCATGTTTGTCATTTTTCAACAAATTAAATTGTTTGCTACATTAATATTCTCCATCACACATTCATATGATAAAATATTCTACATACAAATCAACAATTATTATTTTTTTTAAAAATTTTAACTGCATATTCCTAAAAAAATACTATTCAAAACTCTTTAATTTCTCCCATAATGAGAGACAAACATGCTCTTAATGTCTAGCGGGCAATTTGAGATGAGTATGTGGTGTTGGGCTTACGAGGAGGCTTAAGATAGATTGACATTTTGGAAAAGTCACAAACAAATACATATTGGCCTATAAATTTGACGGTAACCATATGATTTGAGGATTTCTTTGTTTCTGAGATTTGATATCAAACTAATGACAACTATATCATACTAAACCTCTCAAAAATAATATGAATCACTAACACATTCTAATGATGATCAAGTATCAAAATGAAATGATAAAAATTGAAAGTTTAGGGAACATTCTACAACCACTTGAAAATTCACGGGAATACTTTACTATGTCAAATTCAAATTTTAGCGTTACCAAGTTTACATTCCAATTTACCGTTTGACCTTACGTGCGGAATTAATACAATTAATTGTAACAAGTTACAAATTAATTGTTGTCTAAGTGATTAAACATACACATCCAATTAAGCATATGTTGAATTGTCAGTTTGTATAAAGTAAATAAAACAGTAACACTAATTCACAATATGATGACGGAGAAATCCCAATGTGGGTAAAACTCCGGGACCAAGCTAGTAATTTTCACTATACCAATCCAGCAATTACAAGTTATGTCAAACTCTATACCAAGTCAGACCCGTTGTTCCAGTCTCACGATCTACTGTCGTAAATACTGCTAGCTTCCCGATCTACCTCCTGTAGTCCAATCTGCTGTCCAATACAACCTCCTGGTCTCTAGCTGATTGTATCACCAAGTGGAATTCCAAGAATATTCTGTTCTTGTCTAGTTTTTGCGTTTGTCGTCCACCTCACTCAATCTCCTAATAAGAGAGTCCCTTTCTTAACAGATGAAGAAGTCCAGTTGTTTTGTCCTCACAAATAGTGTTGTTTTCCCCAATAGTGGATTGCTCAGATCACAAGGTGTTTATGAATGAATTCCTTGTTCAGTTCTGCCTTGGATCACTTGAGAGAATATTAAAGATGATATCTATGTAAAGCACAATGTGACAATCTCTCTTTCATGTTCACGGCCTTTGTATTTATAGTTGGAGGCAATTAGGAGTCCTAGGCTGTATCAAACTCTCTAGAAATCGAAAAATATGATTTTTCATATAACATCGTCGCTCGAGCGAAAAGAAAGCGAATAACGAGGGATGCCACTTCGCTCGAGCGAATATCGAGTGGCTGGCGAGCGAGCGACGACCATTTTGCTTCCTCTCGCTTTAGCGGTGGCAGGGCGAACAACTAGCGAACTTCCGGCGTCGCGACCTTGATTTGAACCAAATACTCAAACCCTAGTCCTTCCATCTAGCTTTGCTAAATTGCACCCTAAGTCCCTGACTTTTATAACACCATACAATTGAGTCTCTGACTTTTACATATTTACAATTTAGTCATTTTGTCCACATAATCTCCAATTACACCTTTAGACCTAACAAAAATAATAAACAATCAACAGTTAGAAGAATTTAATAAAAATGAGTAATTGATTTTTCAAATATTAACAATGTGTCTCGTAATATTAAAAATAAAAGTCTAGTCTAAATAATCACAAAAATAAAATATGGAAGATGAATATGCAACCAGAATAATTTAGAAGAAAAGTTAAATACAACCCTTATACTGAATCCTTCAATGATTGTGGAGCGTGGACGACCATTCTTCCTCTTCAAATTCATTCAAGTCTTGAAAAATTTGTTGTATTCAAGAATTCTTCTCTAACGATATGTGATGGTGTACGTTGCGTTATAAAGTCGTCTTTTTTACAATGCGAGGGTTCTCTAATTTACAGACTCTGCTTGGTATTAAAATGTAAATTTGGGGGAAAAAAAAGAGTATCTTGTAATAGTGATTTTTTAAGATAATGTGTGGTTAAAAAATAAGGAAAATTTTTCGATTTACTTGTAAATTTGTTTTATAAGAGAATGTGTGGTTGAAAATGAATTTCGAAAAAATGAGTTTTCAAAAAATGGGGGCTAAATATAGGGTGAGTTCTAAAATCCCAAAAAATAAGTTGTCAAAACAAACGAAGAATCCAAAATTCAGGTGTGGAGCCTAGACGCTGCCCTCGCTTTGCCAAAACCTGTAGCTATATTTCAAACACACGTAATTTTTTGCATTGAACTTCAAATTCAATTATTGTTGGAAATCTGTGGCAAACTTTGATATCTAATTTCTTCAAGTCCTCTGAATAGGTTCCCCGTTCGATTTCTTGGGCATAATATTATTTGGTCCATCGCTTCAACTTTTATTACTTCCAACTACCTTGTTTCTTCCAGATTCCATTCAAATTTTGATTTCTTCTATTTTTGTCATTCAATTTTCGATTTGTTCCATTTTGGTCCAAATCTTATTCAAAGACCGTTTTAGTCCTCGAAATTTATGAAATCCGCAAATTGAACTTCCAAGTCTTCCACTCAAGTTCTTGAACTTCTTGTCAATCTTGCGATTCCATCCTTTTGTCACAATTAAGCTCCAAACATCTTCATTTTGCTTGAGTCAACTCAAAGTTGGAGTTTTTACCTAAGAACGCAAAATACACACAACAATGAGTGAAAGTCCACCTAAGTAGTTATATAAATTGATAATATTCTGACATAACTCAATCATGATAATTTTTCTTTTACTATCTTAATCTAAGTCCACACTTACTTCGCAGCAATTTTCACCGTGGTCTTAGTTCAATCTTTTTAACACGAGAAAAGTAACTCAGTACTTTAATGAGTCGCACATTCTGTTTGCTCTAGATAAGTCCAAACGTATCACAAAATTTATCATCCATTATCACAAACATTGGGTCCAGCTCACATTAATAAGCTACAAATTTTGATGACAAAAAGTACTTCTGGTTTCCAACCCCCACTAACTAGCTAGTGGTGACTAAGTGCTGACAAATGGTGGGACAATTGCACGATCTCGTTATAATTATATTTGCCGGTGAACAGCCACGCAAATCACAAAATAACATCTTCAGATTTAAATATATGTAATTTAATTTAGGCCCGTTTGGTAATACTTCTATTTTTGCTTATGCTTCTTGTAAAACAGCTTTTTGAAGAAGTTATTTTTTCTTCTAACCAACTTTCCAAAAAATTATTCAGATATATTCAAAAGTAATTTCTTTATCTAAAAACAGTACTTAAATCTTTAAACGAACAACACGTGATTTTATTTTATATATATATATATATATATACACACACACACATACAAATTCCACTAAATTTTGATCAACCAAATTTTCATAATTCATAGCATGTAACATGTATCTTCAAATTTCAGTTCGTAAATAATTTTTTTTGCCTTATGTGGTACTGCGAGGGAGTGATTTGACTGAAACTCCATCTTAAGTTAATTATTAATTAAACAACCCAACAATAAAGAAATTAAGTTATTAACTACCGAATATCTCTTGTAGCTTCTGACTTATCTAGATACTTGACCCGAGGGAAAAACGTATGAATGTCAAAAGAAGTTAGTCAGAATTTTGACAAATTAATCAATAATTTTAAGGACTAAATTACAAGCAAAGATGCTTTCTAATTTCCTTCTTACCCGTTGAAAAAAGAAAGATTTTTCATTTCGACACAACTACAAATATTAAATGGATCGAGTATTTATCAAGATCACGTGTGCCTTTAAATCTTTATTTCACGTCATGTTACATTTCAATCATATTATAGTGTATATAATTTTACACAATTATCTTAGCATCATCACTATCATTTCTTCATCGTCGCAACCCCATCACCAATAATAGTTGTGTAATTTTTTATTTTGTTATTTAATAACTTATCCATCATTCATCCCTATCGATATCACTAACACACCCGTACCATCAACGTGCACCCTATCACCACAAGAAAATTACATAGGTTTTTTTTTTTTTTCTTTTTCTTTCTAAACTCATTTTAGTATTCACATTTTTCAATAAAATAATTTTGAAAATTCAAATTTTTTTTTTAACCACGTGTTATTCATCAAAATTACTTCTTCTTCTTCTTCTTCTTTTTTTCTTTCAAAATCTATCTAAAAAAAATGAGGTTCAACGAGGGCTGCATTCTGTACAAGGATATGTGAAAATAGAGACAGAAAAAAAAGTAAGAAAAACCTTCAATATGGTGGTAGTTTATGGGTTTAATGGTGGTGACGACAGCAATGATGATGATGGAGGTGATGTACATTTACTATTAGAGATGGTCTATGTGTAAAGGGGGGGGGGGGCATGTTAGATGTTTTATTTTAGGATTTCTTTTGTAGGGATATCTGATTTTTCGTAACATTTTACAAATATCTAATTTTTGAACTATTATAAATAATATGTCCGGACCTAGTTTCCTCTTATTTTGATAATTCGTCTTAGCAATTATGGTATATATGTGTGTATTGAGAGTGTGTTTAATTCCCATTTTTTCATCTTTCCTTTTCAAT